TGTTGTCGGACTTGGACTGATCGTCGGTCAAATCATCGACTTTCCAGAAAACATATTGCTTGTTGGGGTCACGATACATACGTTTGGGTAGTCCCTCCTGGTAGTCCTCAATGGCGATCTCGTGCACCTCAGGTTCCAGATCAAATGAGATCCTGCGATCATCAGAAGACTTCTTTGCACTGGCTATCCTCGGTGAGGTATAATCCATAGAATCTTCATTGTCGCTATCAAAGAAGGAATCAATGGTAATGGGAGTCGCCTTCTTCTTTGGTGTCTTCTTGCTGGTTCTCTCTGAGGATGCTGAGGGCGATTTATCTGCATGTAGGAATTTACATTTGTTTCCGAACTTGCAGGTACCTTCTTGCCAATTCCAACATACCTTCTTTTTGGGTCCAGCTGAAGATGAACTTCCTCTACCTTTCCCTCTTGATGAATCTCTACTTCCGCTTCTGCCTTTCTTACCTTTCATCTTGGCATCATAGACCTTCTGAGAATGACTGTAAAGACATTTGTCACCTTTGTTGCATCCTCCTTTATTGAAGAAGTAGTTACAGAAAATCTTCTTCTTGTCAACGGGTGAAGATGATCTTCCCTTCCCACCTTTGCCTTTCTTGTTGTTCTTGTCGGCATGGGATTTCGGAGAAGGTGTAGGAAGTACCGATGCAGCTTCACTCTTCGCTTTCGCCTTAGGACGTTTGGGAGGATCACCTGTAGACGATGCGGCCGCTTCATTCTCCTTCTTGGTCTTGACGGGAGCGGCAGGCTTGTCTGCATCTTCTAAGGCAGGTGTCGTCTTGTTAGAGGACAATGACAGTTTCACTGCACGTTCTCTATCTTTCAACAGTCGTTCTTGCTTCCCTCGTGCTATGTATCCCTTGATCATACCAGTTAGGTAAGCATAGGTCTTCTCAGGATGCCCTTCATCAAAGGTTTTGTATCGGTTGATATCGAAGGCCATAAGCTTTGAATGTTCAATCTTCCGGAACAACGTGTCACGCAGGGAATTATTGGAAGGCAGATCATCATGTTTCATATTGTATACGATGTCAAGCCACTTGTTGTAGAAGGCCTCAAGTTGGTCATCTCCATAGTAGTTGAACATATACAAATGATGGGCATTGTAGAGAACTTCAGTGTGGTCAGGTGACTTGAAGCTAATCAATATCATTGCAAATAGTTCTCGTCCCTTGATGAAGTCCCCACTCCTCCCATACAATTGGTTCTTCATGGACATGTCATACTTCACTTGCATGGACTTGTCCCCAGCATTGTCAATGACTTTCCTCAAGGCGTTGGAGAGCTTGGCATCAATGGATTGGAATCTCACATCAGGAGCTTTGGCCAGCGCCTCCAAGTCAGGTTGATCTGCAAGACACGGAGCTAACCACGCCTTCCAATCTTCATAGTTTCGATCTCCACTTGCAACGCAAACTTCATGAACGACACTTCCCTTCCAGGATGAAAGTTCAGTGGTCTTAGGCCAGGGTTGGAGGCTGATCTTTTCGGCTTCTCTTAGAGATACAGATGACTTGGATCTATCCCTTTCAAGGTTCTCCAACTCCTTGACATTTATGTTGTACTCGTTCCTGAGCTTCTCGAAGGCTTCAGCTTCTGCTCGGTATTCCTGCTCCTCATCATTGGCACGATCTTCAGCTTGAGAGAAATTGTTCTTATAGTAATCTTTACGATCTTCCATCTTCTTCAACTCATCCTGAAGATTTCGAACTTCAGCGTTCCTCTCTTGCTTCATCTCGTCCATCTCTGCTTTCAGTTTGGCACACTTCTCTTCACATTCATTCCGAGGCATGGCATTACTGGGGTACCCATGTAATGTAGTCGGTCTATTCATTGATGAAGAAGAATGAGCTTGGTTTTCCAACTTCAGGGCAGCAATGGTGCTCGACATTTCTTCTACCTCAGCGTAACGCTCATTGGCCAATTGATGCATCTCGGTCAAATGGCTTTCAGGAATGGAATAGTCAGTCGCACCTTTGATCACGAGTCTTCTGTCGTTCAACATCTTGATGGACTTACCTGCATCCCTGTGAGCACGCTCAAGAGAGTCCTTTTGGGCTTCAAGTTCAGTATGAAGGCGAGCAATAGCTGTATCCCTGTCATTGAGTTCATTGTGCAAACTGTCAAACAAGGTACTCGTCACATTCGGATTGTTGCTCATGTGATCGATCTTGTTCAGAGCATCTTGATATTTCTTACCAGTTTCATCAAAGTTTCGCTGGAATACTTTGAGCAGGTCCTCAGTATCAATGAGTTCAGATCTATTCTGCAAGTACAACTTGTCAACTTCGGCCTTGGATTCTTTCAAGCTGTCACGTTCACGCACGGCTTGCATGTACATCTCGTATAGAGGTCCTCCATGCGGTGATCTGCTCGGTGACGATCTTCTGGCTTGTTGACAGGAAAGTTCATGATACTGATTCTTCGATTCAGTCAGTTGCTGTTGCATTCGATCTAAGAGACTTTGTTTCATGTGTAGTTCAGAACGTAGTCCCATGATCCTCATGTCCCGCATGCCACCTGATTCAGCTAGAGATTCTTCAGAAACCCTGTTCTCAGAAATCGCTAGTCGAGATTGTAAGTTCTCACTGTGGATCACCTGCAATCGAAGTTGCGATTCTTCCAAAGCTAAGTGATGTTCACATTCTGCATAACGGTCATGTTCAGATCTTATGTTACTACGGAACTCCTTCATGATCTCGTCCCTCTTCATGTCAGCAGCATCGAGCTCAGTTTCCAGTCGCCTGACGTTCATGGCCATGGTGTGCTTCATCGTCTGGTTCTGATTAGCAACCTCGAGCATCTCGATCTGTAAAGCACATGTCTGGTCGTTAGCATAGCCGACCGCTAGAGCTTCCTGCTTGGCATTCATCTCTGCGTTTTCCAGTTCCAGTCTGAGTTGATTGATGTGAGCATTCGCATCAGCGCCCACATGCACCATAATTGCGTTCGCTTGTCCCATTTGTTCATCGAATTCCGAACGTAGTCGTGAATATTTGAATTCCAAATGAGATGCAGCTTCATTCGACATAGTCTGATACCTTTCCAACTCTTCGATCCTGTAGGTCGCACCTTCGTCTTCTTGTTGTGCAGCCTGTAACTCGAAGTTCAGCATCTGGAGTTGTTCGGTCATCGACATCATCTCTTGATGAGTGGTGCTTTCCAGGAAATTAAATTGTTGATAGGCATATGCTGTCGTCTCGCTCAATCTTGCCTGAAGTACGGATTCTTCTTCAGTGGCCCTTTCCAGTGATGTCTTGTATTCAGCTAATTCACTCTGATAGGCAGTGAAGATGTCGCTACCACTTGATGGGGCGTTCACTTGTTGATAAGATCCTGTCCCTGATGGAGTAGCGTCCTGAATCGGTGAAGGCGGATTCGACGACGTAGTCTTTGCCTTGGTCCTTGGAGTCATCGGAGGCGACAATTGTCGTGCAGATGATCTTCTCTTTCCAGGTGTGCTGTCCCTATCTTCAATTGCTTGCATTGTCGAAATTTGTCTCCCTCTAGGAGCAACCAGAGTCGCCTGGGTTGGCTTGTTCTCAGTTCTGAGGCATCGCTTCCACCAGTGTCGATACTCTGTGAAGAATTTGACTGCGTGCCGGCAGCTGGTGCAACGGCATGTCCAGAGAAAGAAAATGCATTATCGCTGCTATCCTGTTCAGTCATCTGTAAGGCCCGCGGCTCCCCGCTCGTAGGCTCCGTAGGAGTCCTACGGCTGATAACCTGCGAATCGGGGATTGTTGGCCCGATTATGTTCCTGTAATTGATGTTGATACTTGCAGTTGCAATGACGACCTCACGAGGGCGGCAGCTTCCGCATGGCTTTCATTTTCCCTGTAGCTGCAGTATGTCTTGAGCCAAAGAGGCCAATGTCGGAGTGCCCCTTTGACGATGGATCCTAGAGTGTATGATTATGCATATATACAGTGATCCGTAGCCTACACTCTATTCGCAATATATATATATATATATATATAATGTATACATACGTATATATATATATGTATATATATCATGTGTATGTGTATAATTGTATGTGTATGTATATATATATTATGTAAATAATATATATATATATTATGTATATAATTATGTATATATATATTATGTGTATATATATATATATTATGTATATATATATTATGTATATATTATGTATATATATATATTATGTATATATATTGTATATATATATTATGTATATATATAGTATGTATATATATATATTGTGTATACATATATATATATATTATGTATATAATATATGTGTATATATATATTATATATATTATGTATATATATATTATGTATATATATATTATGTATATATATATATTATGTATATATATATATATATTATGTATGTATATATATATTATATATATATATATATATATATATATGTATATATATATATATATATATATTATATATATATATATATATATATTATGTATGTATATATATATATATAGTATATTATGTATATATATAAGATGTATATATATAAGATGTCATAATATATGTATAATATGTATACATATACATATAATATATATATACATATTATATATATATATATACATATAATATATATATACATATAATATATATATATGTATAATATATATATGTATAATATACAGAAACAGAGTATTGGCACATGAACATTGCTCTCGCTATGGTATTCCAGACATGGTTGTTACAGTCTGAACCAAATATCTATCAAGAAAAAATTGATCGTGTCGCTCAGATCAACGGGCACAGTGTAGACTTTGGCTTCTCAAGGGCTCAAAGAAAAAAACAACAACAACCTGAATATTATTGTAGTTCATATACTATGACTGATTGGATTATTATAGTTGACAACCTGAACCAAAGTTGTGTGAACTGCAAAATCTCTCTGTTCGCACACACGAAAGTTAAAATCGCAACAGCGGGTGAGAAAGCTCTGGACTGGGTACTGATTTTGACCAGGATTCTCAATGGCGGCATCGAAATGCTCTGATGAATTCGTGATATCTTCATAGCGGACAGCCAAAATATCAGGTGCGCGAACTTCATATGCACTCGCCATGGCTGTGATCACGTACTCCATCCTTTCAGCCATTTCTGGCACACCCTCCTGCCGCAAATCATCAGACAGACATTAGCTGTAGTGCTACGTCTGAAGCAACCCCCAAATAGATCAAAAAGTTGGAAACCTGAAAATGATAGGGGAAAACAATGGTTTTCCACATCACCTAAAAAAAAATCACATCCTCGAAAAGCCACGTTTGATCGTTTTGGGGACCTTTGTGCATCCTGCAACGAAAAGCACCAACGTGGCTAGGCCATGAGATGCCTCAATGGATACAGTACCGCGTACGACAAAACTATGACAGAGACTGGTGGCCAAACTGCACAAAATGAAGACAACCAGAACACACCCTCAGAAAATCGGATAGTTTTTTACTCCATGTAGATTTTTGTTTATATATGTTCATGACGTCTTCTGGCGCTGTACTCGATGGATGTCACTATATTTCATTGATTCATATATATATATATATATTATATATATATATATACAGTATACATATATATATATTGATTCTATGTCCTGGTGCCGCTGGTGCCTTTGTGTCAACCCTCCCATCCTCTGGAGCCATCAGAGGAATACCCTGTTCCATCGGTTCGTTCCATGGCTCTTCTCCCCGGTGGTGATAGACATAGGCCGACGCGACCATCTCCAGAGGGTCTCGCACAATGATCACACCTCTCAGATCACCCTTCATGTCGTTGGTTTCCTTCCTCATCTGCAAAATCATGTCGCCGGAGATGTTCCAAGTATAGCGAATGGGCGCCGGGTAAAGATCACAATTATGGATATGGTTCAGGGTGGTAATGCTCCGCGGCCACGATCTTTCCATGGTACAACTGGATGTTGCACCCAACAGGTCGAACCAGTGTCTCATAATTTTGCGGAGTAAGAAAGTGCCAGCTTTGTGGTTCGCTCCAACGATAAAAATGTGTTTGTCCCACGGAGCTGCAACCGGTTCAACAGTCTCAAAATGCACCGAGAGTTGTTTCTGAATCAACAAATTTCCAGCACCAACAATTTCCTGGCACAAACTTCTAGTGAAGATTGAATGGTTTAGTTTTCGAGGGAAATCAATGGCACTTACTACAGCACTACCAAACCTTGATCACCCATTTGTCAACTGTGGGACTTGTCTCCCAATTTTTCTTCCAATTTCCATGTATTGAAAACTGTATGCACATATCCGTCACATCGATGGTACGGTATGGGATAAATTTCATTTTAAACCTAAACGTTACCAAAAGCTACAACCATGGACAATCCCCAACACAAACAAATCAAAAATGATGGAATTGCGACGAGTCCTTGTCACAGTCGTCAATTGCGACAACCAATTGCTGCAGTAGCTGGATCAGCAAGATTGTTCGGCAGCTGAAATACATCGGTCTGATGTGGATATGGATGGCACGGTAACGAAGAATGGGTGGTGTAAGAGTCGTCACCACCTACCTTTTGAGCCGAATCCATTGATTTCGACTGATACGATCTGGTCATTGATTGCTGCTTTTTATCACTGCACCAAAGATCCCAATGAAAAAGGAGTGATGTTGCACTTGCCGCGGAAAGTTTGTTTTAGACTAGTTTGGTTTGTAACTAATACAATCAAAACATATCGTGGATGTATTTGTATTGGTCACGAGGTTAATAAACCAAGTTACAAATAGAGCAAATCAGATTGTGTGCTAAACATGATCTGGCAATGGAATTTTCCCCGCACAAATGATTTTCCATTTGAAAATTGGATGTCCCATTGCACTGGCAGACAGTCTTTACAATACACAACGCGTGTGTCGATGGTTCAACCATTGAACATGGGGATTTAATCATGGTTTTGTCATGGTTGGTCCAAATAATTGAGTAAGTGCACCATGCGATGGCCGTTAAACAGCCGGGAAATCATGATAAGCCATGGGATTTTCATGTTGTGGTACAATTGTGATCCGCTAAACAGTTGTGGAATGAATATTTTTTTTGAAGGTTTTCAAAAACCGGAAAGCCAAAACCCTAACTGAGAATTTCCAACACAAGTTTCGTTTTCAGATGGCCGAGAAAACAAAACAGAAATCCTGGAACCGGAAACCAACTCCGAACGAGTGGAGTTAAACAATTAGTGAAATGCATCCACTCATTTAATGTTGTGTTGGTTTCAAGATACTTCCAAGTTACATCCTGGGAAAGCTTCCGCTGTGAGTCTAGAAACGACCAAGAAGAACCTCCGTGCGAAAAAACGCGCACAGAGAGAAGGAAAAACAAAGCAGATAAGAAGCGCGCGTGGACAAGACCGAGCGGAACGCGAGAGCAAGAACCGGCTCGCGCTCGCTAAACCTATGTCCGAATACACCGTCGCAACAAGTCGCGACTGCGTACATGATCTGTGTCAAAACCAGCTGTCTGTCAATCTGTTTGTTTTCGCTGAACCAAAAGCGCCTCCAAGATACACCTTTTGATTTGTGCGTGTTGCACAACCAATCCAACTTCAACTGTATGACAACCAATGCACGCTATGTGACATGTAGCAAGGTGCACAAATATGTTGCATACTCGTCGCGTTCATGCACCCTCGTTTCTCGTTTCTTTGATCATACAAAATTCACTCTACAACTGTGGCTTGATCAGGGTCGGTTCTTTTGTCATCTCAAAAAGCATGGGGTCACAGGTGAGCACAGATAAAATCTTGAAGTGCGATCGATAGCAAGACTGATTGTGAGGCTGGAGCAAATAAAGCATCCGAACTGTCACCACAAGAAAGAGAGCCGTTGAGACACATCAATCATCTGGGTGTCACGAACGGACAGGAAATAAGCAACTGACATGATCACAAAATGAAATCACAAAATAACCCCCAGTCTGAAATCGCAATCACCCTCACCGTTTCACAGGGCGGGTTTCTTTGTGAAACTTTTCCTTGACCCAAAAGCGTCTGGAATGTACACTTCAGATTTGTGCGTGTTGCACATCAACTGCATCACAACTACATGTCTGTATATATGCTATTGAAGCTGGAATACCGCAGGAGTAAACTAGTTTCACCCCGCCTTGGCAAAGTTCTATGAACTGATGCCACAAAACAAAAGAAAGAAAATGGTTAGGATGTCAAATGGCAATGACTGCATGGGGACGGCATTGCGTTGCCAAGACTTGTCTTTGTCTCTTTGAGACATGCCAAATGATTCATCCTAGAAACACTCTAATTTCCTCAAGGTAAACTTCTGGGCTACCTGAGATCCATGTTATCCTCAGGCCTGCCCTTTCACTTGAGCGCAATGCCAGCAACTGTCTGGCTGGCTTTGCACGTATGTGCAAGGAGTATTCTGTTTTGCTTCAAGGGTCCTCCTCATCAGTGAACTCGCCACAGTGGAGACTTGCCCATAGGTCAGGATCAGACACTTCGTCCTGAGTACTTTGGTAGTACCTTCTTCGAGCCTCTGATGCCGTTTCCATTTCGGCGTCAGATTCACGTTCTTCTTCACTTTCTTCACCAAAAGATTCATTTCTGATAAGGGCGTCTGCCACCATGTTTGTATGTCGACCTCTTGCAGTTTGACCACGCAGCATCATAAAGAAATTGTGGGCGAGCTGCGCGTCTCCCAAAGATGTGGGCCGATTGCCACGAAAATTCGGGGAATCTTCGTCTTCACTGATGTCTGCCATCTCAGCCATGTTACGCATCGCAGATGCTCTGAAAAGTGGATTGGTCAGAGCACTTTGAAGACTGCGGAAAATTGCAATGCGTTCCAAATACTGGTTATACTGGTTCCTTTTTCCAATCTCCAAATTTGGATTTTCAAGGCGTCGATGGCATCTGATGATCAGCCAGTTCAGAAAGCCTTCTGGTGTTGGCATGTCACTTGAACTCCTCGGGATTGCAAATGCCAATTGGTGTTCAGCATCATCAGGAATGAAACTGGTCAAAGCTGTTGCTTCTCCAGTCGCTTCCTCATCAACTTCTTCATTCAAGACTGGTTCTCCAACGGAATCATAAGTTGCTACTTCAGGCTCTGGTTCTTCCTGAAGAGCTTCTTGCTGTGGTGCGTTCTGCAAGGTCATGCAAAACATCATGAAGAGGAAACCAAACAAAACTGTAAAGACCACGACAGCGGCTGGAGGTGCTGTGGGTTCAAACTCATCGCATCCTTTCAACTGACCAAGGCCCAAGACGCTTAAGAGTGCTAGGATATGCTGCTTCTTGTTGAAGAAATTGCTGGAATCAGCTGTTCCCTCAAGTTGCTTTGCGGTTGTGTTGTACATGCCCAAAGTATGCATCAGTGTTCTCAAACGATTGCATGGATGCCGCTTCGTCCCAATGTCAGCTGGGTTCAAAGATCCTGCAATGCTGGATAACTTGATTTGTCCAGCAGCCACCAAATCTTGAAGCCATAGGACACGGCAAGAAAGGTGTCTGACTCTACCCACTCCCTGGCGCTGTATCATGCCTCTTGCTCCAGAAGAGTCTGTGTACAGGTAGGTTGTCACCTTGCAGTCAGTCATCCATGCAATGAGACGAGACAGTAAAACACTGTCTGAAACTCCAGATGAGCACGCGTACAATTCTGCTTCTGCAGAGGATAAGGAAACAAGCTTCTGTGTTCTGCTTGCAGAGTAAAGCATCATGCCTGACCAGAAAATCACAACGCAGGAAACTGATCTTCGCTTGTCCTTGTCAGAAGCCCAATCACTGTCTGTGTAGACTTCCATTGCTGATTCACCAGGTGGAAGATCATATTGATGGAAAATCCCATCACTCCTGCCTTTGGACTTCAAAGAAATGCAAACATCTTCATGGGCAGCCAGGTATCCAACCAAGTGCTTCAACACCAGCATGCTACGCACTGTTGGTTGTGTGCTGTAGGTGGCCAAATGCCTCACCACATGCTGACAGTGCGGCAAATCGGCCGCTAGGTAAAGCAACACCCCAACACATGTCCTGAATGCTTTGGCGTCTTGAGGACTGATTTCACCTGACAGGTCACATTGGTCCATTTCTGCATGACCTGGTGACTTCTTTCGTTGCAAAGCTTTGTTCAAACCCAAAACATCGCACATTTGCTGCACATGCTTATGGTGAGTCTGGATGAGCAAGCGTGAGTCAGAAAGAAGCGTCATCCTCCTCTTCAGAAAATGCAGCTCATCTCCAGGCTTTGCAATCACCTGCGTGGAAACCTCATACTTGTTTTCAAGACATGGAACAAACTTGTTGAGCACATAGTCACGCTGACCAACCACCAAAATGTCGTCCACATGAATCAAAACATAGCAAGCATTGTCTGCAGTCTTGAGCACGCATGGATATGGAGCATGGGTGAACATACCAAGTTGCTGCTTGAGAAGGTTCGTCAAATCCTGGTGCCATAGCAGGCTTCCATCCCTCTGACCTGGCAGTACCTTTCCCAGTCCATAACTCAAGGTTTGTCCATCTGCAAGTTGACAATTGACAATGGTTGGTCGCTGTTGCCTGACTGTCAAAAACGCGTCCTTCACATCGATGCTCAACATTATGCTATTGCTGTGTTGCTTCATGTCCAAGTACATGGCTGGCAAAACTCTTGCTGCTATGCTGCTGCTAGCTGGAGAAAACAATGAATCTCGTTCACTTTCCATCCATGCAAACTCTCTTGCAACAAAACGTGATCTCCTCAGCCAGATGGGCTTGTTGTCTTTGCCTAATTTCTCTCGCCACGTACGCACAAACCTCGTTGAAAGAACCTTTGCATCTGTCGGCATGGAACTGGCATCTGTTAACACCTCCATCTTGCTCAGGCGTTTCAACTCCAAAGCGTCTGCTATGGTGTCCAGGCGCAACAGCTCTGTCTCTGACAAACAAGGTTCATGCGCACTGAAAGGAAAAGTAAGCTCTTGCAGGGCTGCGTCATCATCTGCTTCCACACCTGCATAGTAATCCTCATCATCAAAGTTCATGTCATACTTTTCCAATTCATCGAGATCATCTTGTTGAAAAGAGAAGGTAACTGGGTTGTCTTCATGCTCGTACAAGGACAGGTCTGTGCTTGTCACCTGGTTCACTTGCTTCTTGGAATCATCTGAAAGCTTTGGTGTCTTTGGCACATGCTGGGGCTCTGTATCATCCAACAAAAACGTTGACTCAAGCAAAGAAAAAGCTGAATCAGCAAATTTGGCACGTTTGGGAGATGCTTCTTGTTCAGCGTCTTCTTCCTGCCGTTTCTGTCCATGTGCATCAGGGCCCAACACATCGTCCATGGAACTTGTTGCAACACCGCCAGAAGAAGGAGGCATGTCGGGCTGAGAAGATTGCCCCGCCTCAGCTACATCCTTTGAATCCTCCAAATCCTCATGGGGATGAGCTCTGGCATAGTTTTCAACATGCAAAGCTTCCAAATCAAGCTGTGGTGGAAGGGCTGGTCCAATTCCCAGGGCAATCGGCTGTGACACTCTCTTGTTGTGAACCAGTTTGTTGCCAAGTGCCACCAAACCGTATTCCCAGGGATATGTTTCCACATCTCCACATCTGTCCAAATTGAACGGGATAGCATTGCGTCTGATGCTTCTTGTCAAGAAAACGCCATCTTTGGTGCCAACCACATGACTGTCTCCTGATGGCACTTTGCCAAGCCAAATGCCATGCTGCCACCTGGGACCTCCCTTGTCAACTCGAAGGTAACCCAAAACATCCTCAGCAAACATGGCAATCTTCCCGGTGTAGCTACGGTCAGAAGCTCTTTCATAGGCTGTTTGTCCTGCATTTACCACAAACCTGTTGTGCAACCATCCTGCATGGATAATGGCCCAGCTATAGAGGGGATGCAAACATCCAAAGATCACTTTGCCACCGGCCACCTTGTCTTCAACTTGTTGTATGAGCAATCCAGCCTTAGCTCTCAACTGCTGTACGGTGACCTCTGCCGCTCCATTGGCTTGGTGATCTCCAACAGGTGCTCCTTCATCATGCACTTTCAAGCTCATGTTTCTGCAAGCCTTACGCACTGACTCTGCCAAGGCCAAGACTGAAGGTTCTCGGTCAGTTCGAATTGCAAACTCAGCATGTTGCGTCTGCAAAATGAAACGCATGACCTCTGTGGTCAGATATTGCAAGGACTTGCCACCTTTCTGCGCAGTGGGGATTGCTGACATCATCTTTGTAGATCTGTCATGAATGAACAGGCATGTGAGCTTGTCTGATTCATCTGCCATTCTGCTGCAGTAACCAAAATCAAAGGAAATGACTGAATGTCCTGAGCTCTCGTGTGGTCGTGGTGGATGAGGATCTTGCTTGGCTCTGTATTGCACGCAAAGTGGGCACCAGGCTTTGTAGGGTTCATGAGTGAGCATATGATTCTCAATCTCTTGTGAAGTGGGCTCTTCTGGTCTGGACTGCATCATGGGAACTCTCTCAGTTTCATTCTTCAGTTTAATTTCAGCACCATGAGCCGCCAACAAAGTCTGCGCCTTAACGTGCTCAACCATGCGCTTGATGCACTTCACCTTGCTCCCTCTGCCAGACAATCCAAGGGATGCACATCCAGCTCTGAGTGTCTTGAGGGTGCAATTGAGTGTCATGGGAACGCCATCAACCACAACTGTTTCAGCATCATCGGTGTACTGAACAATGCGGTCCTCTTCAAGCACTTCACCTTCTGCAGCATCAACAGGAGTCTCCTCAAAAACTGGATCCTCAGCAACTGTTCCAGCGCTGTATGAATTTGAAACTACATCATCATCCTTTGCATCACCTTGGCCGTCTGCAGGTCTGTCGTTGAAAAAGAAACCCAAGAATTCATCTTGCATCGCATGCTTGTGAGCAAGTGCAATGACCTCGACCACTTGTTCTGGATACACAAAGTCTTCTTCCAAATTGGACTGCAAATCTGAAATTGACTCACAGTATTCATCCACTTCCCAGCCTATGCCATCTCTGTAAACCAGGGTGGTTCTAAGCCACATCATTTCATCACTTGGACAAAGCGTGGTGTCGACGTGCTTGGGTCTGGCTGTTTTGATGGCAAAAAGATGAGGGCTGATACGGTTCCAGCCTGCTGCAAGGGTTCGAAGTGGCATCCCAAGCTGCACAGCTCTGACAACATGAACTTGTGGTGCTTCATCTTGCTGTGTCAAAAGTGAGATGCGGCCATGAGCACACAATGAATTGTTCTTGAACAACACTTCGATTTTCATATCATCCTTCACCAAATGAGGACTGCCATCAATGTGAACTATGTTCCAACCAGCACGAAGAACATTGCCCAAAGAAAGAAGAGGACATGTGATGTCTGACACTATGAACTTCTCTTTGAAAATCACATCTCCAAATTGAACGTTTGCCAACCTTGTGGATTTCACGTCAAGTGTGGCTCCCTGGGCATCAACGTAATTCACATCAGGCCTGGGTCCTTCGTCACCTATGCAGCTGAACTTCAAAGGCAAAGCACTGGTGTCTGCTCCAGAATCCAAGATGATGTCACACTCAGTCGCATGAGTTTCAACCGTTTCAACTGCATTGACTGCACGAACATGATGTGCACCTGAAGGGCTAAGTGTCCAGCGGCCATCATCATCTGTGGCTGTCATGTCATGGCAAGTGCATTCACTCAAAACACGCAAAACATGAACACTGCTGCAAGGAGAAGCTGGGTTTGAGTGCACCGTCAAATCTTCAAAATGATTCACCTGACAGCTCATTGGATGTCCTGTCAAAATGCGCACTGCTTGAGAACCTGATCCTGTGCTAATGCTGGCAGCTGAAGTTGAGTGAGCAGTGTCTGAGGCCTCACCAACCACACGTACTTGATTTTGATCTGCCTTCTTCTTCAAACAGTCTTTCTGCCAGTGACCACTCTTTCCACAGTATGCGCATGTATTGACGTCCAGCTTCTTCTGCTGCTGTGAATTGTTGTTTCCATTGCCCTTTGACTGACCTTTGTATTGGCCCTTTGAACTGTACTTGCCCTTTCCAGAATCCTGACCTTTCTGACCTTTGCCTTTGCCATTGCCAAAGGATTTGCTCTTACCTTTGCCCTTGTCTGCACCTTTTCCTTTCTTACCTTTTCCCTTTTGAACCAAGTTGACTTCCATGGGGCTTGCACCAGAATCTCCAGGACTGGCATACGAAGTCACGGCACCAAGTGGAGTGGCTCCACACTCAACCAGAATCTTCTCACGTGTCCAGGTAGAGGAAACCCTCTCATAAGCCACAACTTTATCCTTGACTTCTTGGTATGTAGTAGAGTTTGTCATACCAAGCTGTATGTGCTGCTGGACTGCACGTGGTAGAGCTCTGATGAGCGTGGTGAGCAAGATGTCGTCGGCAATGTTGTTGCCTGAAGTCTTCTGGTATTCATCACCCAAACGTTCAAGGGTCTGCACCTGCTCCAAAAGGGTTCTGTCACTCTTGAATGCAGGGAAGCTCATGATGGCACTCAGCAACGCCATGCTCCTGGCTTTGGTCCTGGGCGTAAACAAATTGTGAAGCTGCCTCCAAGTCTCCAAACCGTTTTTGGAAGGAATCTGTCTGAGGAGGCGCAATGGTCGATTTTTGAGTATGCCCGCAAGAATTGCATACAACTTGCACGACCTGGCCTTGGTTTCATTGCCTTCTGGTGTCTCTTTGAAAGTCACAACAGTATCGCAATGCTCTTCAACATGGGCCAGATCAGAAGTGTAATTGGAATCTGCAAAGCAAAGCCACTGACGAAATGAAAAGGAGAAGTCAGCCCATCCATTCTGATCCTCAGATGACACCACACTGCCAAACTCACGAGGACACTGAACTGTCTTATTGGCCTCTGCAAAGCCACTTTGGCGCTGTGGCACGCCAATTTCCCTCAAGGCCTTTGCGGCCTCAGCGGCAGCCTGTGCTGCCTGCTGCACTGACTGCACCATCATCTGAGCCTCTGTAATCTGTTGAGCCATTGTTGCTCCAAAAACTGCAAATCACGCTTGAACTCGACTGTGAAAACGCGCACAAACAAATCTGTAAACTTGTCAAACAACCACCAGCAAAATTGTCCAATGCCAGAAGGTTACAGGTCCAGAATGTAGTGTGCAAAGATGTCCAGGCTGAATGAAAACCAATCGCATTGAAATCTCAAATCACCAATTGTAAGCAGTTGCAAATGGAGCCCTTAGGCCAGAGTGCAGAGAGAGGCACCAAACGCTATGGCTGCGCCCAGTCCTAACTCCTTGGGGCTTGGTTTCTGGCCCCTTACCTCGGGATTAGGGTCCAGTCCCGTTTTGGAGCTCACGGCACCCAAAGGTAGGCCGATCACAGCTCCGCTACCATGAAACTTTTCCTTGACTCAAAAGCGTCTGGAATGTACACTTCAGATTTGTGCGTGTTGCACATCAACTGCATCACAACTACATGTCTGTATATATGCTATTGAAGCTGGAATACCGCAGGAGTAAACTAGTTTCACTTTGGGTCGGGACAAATTGGATCCTGGTGATCTCTTGAGCTAGTCACCAAAATGGCATACGGAAAAGAGGTTGGTTGATCAATAGAAAACTAAAATGACATGATGATCAAAGACATGAACAGACAAGTAACTCCCCTCTCCTGACCAACCAATCGTTAGATGGGACCTCCTCGTCGCGTTCATGCACACTCGTTTCTCGTTCCTTTGATCATACAAAATTCACTCTACAACTGTCGCTTGATCAGCGTCGGTTCTTTTGTCACCTGAAAAGGCATGGGGTCACAGGTGAGCACAGATAAAATCTTGAAGTGCGATCGATAGCAAGACTGATTGTGAGGCTGAAGCAAATAAAGCATCCGAACTGTCACCACAAGAAAGAGAGCCGTTGAGACACATCAATCATCTGGGTGTCACGAAAGGACAGGAAATAAGCAACTGACATGATCACAAAATGAAATCACAAAATAGCCCAGGCCTACAGTCAGAACTTACCTATCGGAACTTACGAGCTCGCCCGGCCAACATGCCTGAACGGTTTTCCAGCCTACTTTCTCTCCTGTAGAGAGGTCGTCTCTCGAAGGCCAATCAGCTGGATTGGAATCAGTTGAAACTCTGTCAATAAAAACTCGAACTCGCAATTCAAAAATTAAATTCCAAAACACAGACAGGAGCGTGCACAAGTCTGACTTGCTAGAGTATCCTTTAACAAGAGAGGACTCCACAGCTTCGGAGTCAATCAGCAAAATCAGATCTGTGCCGTATAAGCGCTCGCGAAAAGTGTGTAAGGCTAAAATTGGGGCAATCATTTCAACAGGATCAGTTTGAGTCTTTCTGGGAGCCCAGTTCTTCTGCATCTCTTTCCGTATTACCTAAGAGAACTGGAGAGGAGCCCCCCATCTCCTATCAAACAGAACTGCACCTACCCTATCCGGTCTTTTTTTTTCGCCAGTCGCCTCTTGGCTTTCGCCAGGTCGATCCACACGCTCTATTGGCATGCAACATGTTCCATTAATTCAGGCATTTAATTGCCCCATTTGTTGATGGGCCGCAAAAGTAGTGCTGATGAAGGACCAGTACACAGTCCTATAGGCCGTCGGCATGCAATGAAAAGGAAAAGGGGACCAAACAAGAAACACAACAGAACAAACAAGAAACAAACCAAGCAAGCAAAAGCAAACAAAAACAAAAACAAGGGAAACATTGCATGCGACAGGGGGCCATATATAGCACACTGCAAAAGAAAGCACCTACCCTATCCGGTCGAGGATCATCGTCTCTCGGATCCGGTGTAAAACCATCGGTAAAAAATTACTACGTCAGGCTTCTTGATCTTCTTCATCTCGATCGGTCGAGGAGGACCAGCTCTGATAAGATGTCGCCAGTGCTCCAAAGCAAAACGCAAAGGCTCGTCCAATGCAAAACCAGAATCACCCACTGGGAAACGAGCGTATTGGCGTTCAGAGATCACGCGCAAAAAGGCGCGCCCCACTTTTCCCCAGAGCTGGCTCGCACCAAACATCAGTTTCCCTTTTCAATTTCCCAGCTGTACCTGGAGCCAGAAGACCAGAGCTTAAAATGTGGTCAATCTCGTCAATCAGGTCAGACTTACGGTCGTCCTTGATCTCCAAAACAAACACGCAATAGGTGACACCAAGGATTGTAGGCGATTGACTCAATTGAAGCTTTTTCTGATCAAACTTCACGCCCAACCACCAGTGAACATGCTGAGCGATCTGATGGGCAGATTCCACAGTGTGCACTGGTTCAAAACCGCATTTATCATCATAAAACCTGAAAGAGATCAGCCCAACGTATAGGAACTTGACGGTACGCTTTTCTCTCATCAAAACCCAACCTGCCAACTCGGAGCCAGGGCACATTGCTCTGAGCTTACGCAATGCAGCAACGTTGGATTCTGTGGACGGCAACTGAAGCTTCTCGGTGATCACCGTGGCTTGGTTGATCAGGTTAGTTGTTGCGCTATCGCAACCCTAACTTTATTTTTCTGAACAACTTCAAACCTTTGAGTGGGGATCCAATCTTCCCTAATCTCGTGCGCTACAAACTGATGCTTGCGGCCATCAATTCGGCTGATCAAGATCTTTCTCATTGTCTGCTTTCTGATTTTCTTATTGTGGGGCCGATTCTGCGATCGGGCAGATGGCCGCCTTATGAGAAGAAGCAGTCGCCCGTGGCAGTCGCCTTGATGCAAAGCCGGGCCTGGGAGATCCGGAAGAAGATCATGGCGCGTGTGCAAGCTGTGCCAATCACAGAGGACTTCAAGAAGATTTGGGATGTAACTGTGGAAGATGCTCAAGAAGGCTCGTGCATCGGTCCTGTTTTTGATCAAAAAGACGTTTCTAATTTAGTAGGTAGGCAAGTAGGCCCCCGACCGCGCAGGTTCATGGTCCGGGACCCCTCGCAGCAAAAGGCGGAGAGGGGCATCCGGAATGGGCCGCAAAATCTGATCAATCGCCTCTAAAGAGGATTGAGCGATCGCTCTCCACTTATGCAGAAGAGCTGAGCGCCGCTGCAGAATGTGCTCGCTGGAGTGGGCGCTGCTGTAGAGCCGCCTGCAAGCCAGGTTCCACGGCAATCTCGGTCGAGAACGGGTGATCGATGCTCATCGCCCACAAGATAGCCTGACCAGGCTCAGATTCCACCTCCAGCAAAGGTTTCATCGCACCACGTTTGAGCTGATAGCGCGATGCCGCCGCCAACTAAGCAGTCAAGTATTGGCGATGGCCTTCCCAAGGCATGGCCTGGCCCAGCATACGTGCGGAAGGCCACAGACCTTCGAAAACCTCTAAACCTACTTAGGTCAGCGTCCAGGACGTCGTTCTTAACAAAACAAAGGACCGTCCACGCAACCAAGTCAATCGATCCCAGAGCTCAGCCACTTTTACCACACACACAAGCAACAACAGGAGATGTCTCTGCTCATGTCGCTATGGTTCTTGTTGACGTGTCACTCCTTGACACAAAACAGATGCGGAGTCGCCTGTTGACATCTTTCTGTCAACTTCACAAAAGCGATCAAAAACACATGTCGCACAAAAGTCTTTACATCAAGACATGGTTTGTTTGTTCAAATAAGTTTGAGTGTTTGAAAACGTTGAAACATTAAGCACCAAAACATCTATGATGTCCCCTTAGATCTGTTAGCAACTCCAATTCTGAATGCCTTCAGAACGTTGCTCGCTGTCATCATGGAGAGACAAAAAACAAACTAAATCTCCGATCAATGTCAAAGTTCCTTCTTCCGAAGTCACAAAATGAATTCTACGATCTTCTCTTCCGATTCCTTCGTGAACTTCGTCGACGAAAACTAAAGTGAAGGATATGGAAAATATGTTGATATTCCATGTCACTCTACGAATTCAAATCCTCACCGTGTTCTCCGTGCAATCACAGTACTCAAAGAAGACGAAAAAATATATCGTTGTAGGGCTTCGTCATCTCCAATAAAAGGTGCAAAATATTAAACATGCAAATACGATGTCAACCATCACGGGGGTGAACTCAAAGAGAAAAACAATTCACTTTCTCCAAAACAGAAAAGACCCAATGGATGCATCTCACCACAGATGTCAAATTTTCAGCATACGCTTGCGCTGGCCATGCTGAGCAGCCTGAGATGGCCTAGCCCAAAGCTGCACAAAGCCGGTATGGGTATTCTTGACCAAGCTTGGTGTGGTGAACTGCTTTGCCAAAGAACTCACTGTATACTTGTTCGTGAATCCACAAAGCTTCATTGAAACCAAAACGTTGCGCTTCTGCAACCTTGATACAAAAAACTTCAAAAAATGAACCTAAACACGGTCCCAAAATGGGACCGTCTGGCAGTCCCATTTTTGGGACCGCATGCACAACTTAGTAAAAGAACAGAAGAAAAGCACTTTACGGTCCCATTTTTGGGACCGTCTGGCGGTACCACAAATGAGACCGCAAAATCGCAAAATCAGCAGCAAAGGCCGACCCGAGCACCAAACAAAAAATGACAACTGCGTTTAGTTAAGCAACGAGCACATAGAGTTGGAACAGAGGAGGCCCGCATGCGAAGCCTGATTTCAATTGACTTTCCGGCCCCAGAAATGGAACCTGAAAGTCCTGTGGTATCAGCTCTCTCCGTTCCCTGGCTCCAATGCGGCGATTGCAATGCAGCATTACCCAGGCAACATCACTAATCCGTCGCAATTGACACAATATCGAAACGATGGCGGAGTAAAAAAAGCCTTCAATACTTCACCTTTCCACATCTTTCCCTAACCAGATTCTTACTCCATCCCGTTTTAAATTAATACTATTAATTAATACCGGGATTGACTGAAAAAATCATAATTCATAATCTTTCTGGGCTGAAACCTTCGGTAGGAGTCTAAAGGGGCAAGGGGGGCCAACAAGGGGCAGTAAAGTATTCAATGCAATCATTCAAATGGAAGCCGACCGCCTGAGCGAAAACCCACAAACTCCGCAACAGCAAGAAACACTTATCACCTAAGGCTGCAAAAGGCTGATGCGCCTTCTTTTAGCAGCAAACAATCACGCCAAAGCAGCTTGCTCCCGAAAGCCAAGAGGCGTCGGACGGAAAAAAAAAGCCAAAGCAGCTTGCTCCGACCCAATTCAAAACTGGCTTCGCGGAAAAAGAAACTTTGCTATCCAGCGCTCAAGTTGAGATCAGCTGCCATGGGTATCAGACTATGTCTGCTGGCAGACTGTCTAGTCTCTGCACGCGACAAATCACCAATGTGGGGCTTTAACCCCAGATCACAGGATGATTTTTTTTTGACAGCTTGAACTTTCAATGCAAACAGCAACCAGTAGCATCTGGAAACCTGTCAGAGTTGGGAAATGTTTCAAATTTTCACCTAGTTGGAAGTTTTGGGGGAAGATTCATGAGATCACTAGATTCTCGAATCTCTTTTTGCTTCTATTTAGCTAAATCGAACACCAAAAAAAATAAGAGGCTGAGAACGTAGAGAAGGAGAAGGAGACGGTCATTCTCCCACCGATCAGAGGGGACAGCTGTTCAGTCTGTGCCTCAGTGGTCTTGCAGCCATTCCTTAATATACGGGCAATCGACTGTTCCAGCTTTCGAGAGACCTTCCAAAATTTCATCAAAGGTGAAATCATTGGAAAGAATTTTACGACCCACAGAGTCCAGGTGTTCAGACCTCCTGCATGGGTGATGAATAATCATCTTCTGCGGCGTCCGTGTCTATGTGCGTTGAAAGAAGCAGTTCCTTTTGCACCAGGCACTAGGAAGACTATGTAGCTACAGAGGAGGCCCGCACATGCGAAGCCTGATTTCAATTGACTTTCCGGCCCCAGAAATGGAACCTGAAAGCGCACATGTGGTATCAGCTGTCTCCGTTCCCTAGCTCCAATGTGGCGATTTGCGATGCAGCAACACCCAGGGAACATTCACCAATCCTTCGCTACTCCGCGCTACTCCGTGCTATGTTTTAATTCAATTACCCGATGTAATTGACACGATATCGAAACGATGGCGGAGTAAGAAAGCCTTCAATACTTCACCTTCCCACATCTTTTCCTAAGCAGATTCCTACTCCATCCCGTTTTAAATTTATACTATAAATTAATAACGGGATTGACTGAAAAGATCATGATTCATCTTCTTTCTGGGCTGAAAACTTCGGTAGGAGTCTAGAGGGGCAAGGGGGCCCAACAAGGGGCAGTAGAGTATTCAATACAATCATTCAAATGGAAGCCGGCCACCTGCGCGAAAACCCACAAACTCCGCAACAGCAAGAAACACCTCAAGCAATCACCTAAGGGCTGCAAAAGGCTGATGGGCCTTCTTTTAGCGGCAAACAATCAAGCCACCAGACGCAACGAAATAATAAGAAGCTAACTTCAAGTGGGTTCAAGCAGCAACCGATATGCACCCCGCTTGCCCCAACCAGAAACAAAATCATCTACAAAACAGCTTGCTCCGACGGACCCAATTCTGGGTCCGGAAAATCTTCTCAAAACCGGCTTCGCTCAAAAGCGCCTCGCTAGTTGCCCTGCCGGTCGCCATAAGCCACAAAGTTTCATTGAAACCAAAACTTTGCGCTTCTGCAACCCTGATACAAAAAACTGCAAAAAATGAACCTAAACACGGTCCCAAAAATGGGACCGCCTGGCGGTCCCATTTTTGGGACCGCATGCACAGCTTAGTAAAAGAACAAAAGAAAAGCACTTTCACGGTCCCATTTTTGGGACCGTCTGGCGGTACCAAAAATGAGACCGCAAAATCGCAAAATCCACAGCAAAGGCCGACCCTTGCAACAAACAAAAAAATTGCAACTAGGTTTACTAAGCAATCAGCATAGATTTGGAACATACCTCGAGATCGGCGCTGTGTGTGACTCATACGGCTTTTTTTTTGTCCGAGCCCGTTGCCTTTCGGCGGGTCTACGGTCTTGAGTCTTACTCGCGGACCAGCGGGGAATCGTACCACCACCGGCAGTCTGTCAGCGACACAAGAGTGCCGCG